TGTAGAGTGTGCATAAAATGGAGTAAAGTGAAATGAGGACAGGGTTTTTTTGTTTTTTAAGACTGTGCAGAGCCGTTACCACACTGAGGGAGTCTGTATAAATTACTGCTTTTTGTATTTGTGATTGTTTGATGTGTTTAGCTGCCACAAGTATTGCGTAAGCTTCCGCTGTGAAGATACTTGTGCCTAGATGTAGAGGGCCAGCATCCGAAAAGAAAGGGCCAACAGCAGCGTAGGACACAGAGGAGTTAGACTTAGAGGCATCTGTAAAAAACTCAGGACGCGTGTATTTGTGTCGAAGTTCCAAGAAGTATGTTCGAATATGGGCAATAGGCGCATGTTTAGTAACTTCTAGGAAAGACACATCGCAATCTATAGTCTGCCACTGCCACGGTGGCGGGTATGCTACAGGAGCCATTAAACTGTGTTCGAGTGACACTCTAGTGTCCTCAGCTAGACCCTTCAGGCGAACTGAGAAAGGCTGCCTCATTGAAGGCCTGTTTTGAAAAAGAATGGAGCTCGACAAGTCATTACTAGTAGAGTATGAGGGGTGCCTCTTGTCTGCTTTCACCTTAAGGAAATATACAAAGGACATATAGGTTCTTTGCAGATGAAGCGACCACTCATTTGACTCAACGTAAAGGCTTTCTACGGGGCTGGTGCGAAAAGCACCCGTAGAAAGGCGGATGCCCGAATGGTGCACGGGATCCAGCATCTTCAAAGCACTTTGAGTCGCAGACTGATAAACAATGGCCCCATAATCTAAGCGGGTGCGAATAAGGCTTCTATACAGGTTCATGAGGCATTTCCTGTCACTACCCCACGTAGTACGTGACAATACTTTTATAACATTCATGGCTTTTAAACATTTTGTTTTTAAATAGTTTATGTAAGGTACGAAGGTCAACTTGTTGTCCAAGATTAAGCCTAAGAATTTATGCTCGGCTTTGACGGACAGACGTTGCCCGTTCAGTCGAATGTCAGGTTCCGAGTGCATGCCTCTCTTTCGAGAGAACAAGACACACGTGCTTTTTTGTGGGTAAGTCGAAATCCGTTTTCATCTGCCCATTTGTAGACCTTATTTAAACCCAGCTGAACCTGCCGCTCACACATGGCCAAGTTGCATGACTTGAAGCCAAGCTGAACGTCGTCGACATATGTACAATAGAACATATTGCGGGGAATGGACAAGTGCAAAGAATTCATTTTAATAATAAAAAGTGTGCAACTAAGCACACCACCTTGTGGCATGCCTGTTTCCTGGACAAATGTTTGGGAGAGCACACTGCCCAGACGGACACGGAATGTCCGGTTTGACAGGTAACTTTCGATTATATGAAACATTCTTCCACGCACACCAAGGTGGGACAGGTCTCTTAGAATTCCGAAACGCCATGTTGTATCATAAGCCTTTTCGATATCGAGGAACACAGAGAGAAAATATTGTTTATGGACGAAGGCGTCTCTGATCTGTGCCTCAATACGAACAAGGTGGTCTGTGGTGGATCTACTTTCTCGAAACCCGCACTGAAATGGGTCGAGCAAATTATTTGTTTCAAGAAAATGTACAAGTCGGCAGTTTATCATTTTTTCGAAGACTTTGCACAAGCAGCTTGTAAGTGCTATAGGCCTATAACTCGAGGGTAAAGAAGGGTCCTTGCCCTCTTTCAAAATGGGAATAACAATAGCCTCTTTCCAGGAGGTAGGAATAGTGCCAGAAGACCAAATAGCATTGTACAAATAAAGTAAGGTTTTTCGGGTTTCGTTTGGTAGGTTTTTTAACATTTCATACATCACACGGTCAGAACCTGGGGCAGAAGTACTGCAGGAGTTTAGAGATGTTCGGAGCTCAGCTAGACTGAAAGCTTGGTTATATGCCTCGTATCTAGTGGATTTGTGCTCGAGTTTCTGCTTTTCTATTCTTGTTCTGTATTTTTGGAAAGTGTCAGTATAGTGGGACGAGCTGGATACCTGTTCGAAGTGTGCACCGAGGAAGTTTGCCTGATCTTCCAAGGTATCACCCTGAATGTTTAAGAGTGGAAGTGTGTGTACTAGTTTTCCTGCTATCCTACCGACCATGTTCCAGGCTTTAGCCTCCTGTGTGTATGAATTAACCCCTGATAAAAACTTCTGCCAGCTTTCTCTTCTGGCCTGCCGACGCGTTCTCCTGCCTTGAGACTTTATTTTCTTGAAGGTTTCAAGATTTTCGGCTGTCGGTGAGTTCCGAAGCAGCCTCCAAGCTCTGTTTTGCTGTTTGCGCGCGTTTCGGCATTCAGAGTTTCACCATGGCACACATCGTTTTCCAGGGTGTCCATTTGTTTGTGGGATGCATTTTGTTGCAGCATCAATCAAAAACGCTGTGAAGTAGTTCACAGCAACATCAATGTTCAAAGTACAGATGTCATTCCAACCAAGACAAGCGATAGTATAAAACTGTTCCCAGTCGGCTCTGTTTATGAGCCACTTGGGAACACGTGGTGGACACTCAGTTACTGTCGTTGTGCTCAAAACTACGGGGAAGTGGTCACTTCCGTACAGATTACTGACGACTTTCCACTGGAGTAGAGGCACAAGAGATGGAGATACTATGCTCAGGTCTATGGAGGAGTAGGTGTTATTAGCGAGGTTATAATAGGTTGGTTCTTTTCGATTTATGAGACACGCGCTCGATGAGATAAGAAACTGTTCGATCAGTCAACCTCGCGCGTCATACCGAGAGTCACCCCATAGCCTGATATGCGCATTAAAGTCTCCAAGGAGAACATAAGGCTCCGGAAGTTCATCAATTAGAGAGTGTAAATCGCGTTTTTGCAGCTGATAGCTAGGAGGAATGTAAATAGTGCAGATTGTGATCAGTTTACCAAACAGAACCGCTCGAACAGCCACTGCCTCAAGGGATGTTTGGAGTTGTAAGTGTGTGCATGCTATTCCTTGATTCACTATGATGGCAACACCTCCGGATGATGTCATAGCATCAACACGGTCTTTTCGGAAAATAACGTATTTACGAAGAAAATTTGTGTGTTTTAAATTAAGGTGTGTTTCTTGTACACACAGCACTTTTGGTGAGTGTTCATGTAAGAGTTCTTCGATGTCGTCAAGGTTTCTGAGAAGGCCCCTGACGTTCCATTGTATAATTTGAGTGTTCATGGTGAACGTGAAATAGTGCTGTGTGTACGAAAAGCGAGTGGCTATTTAGACAGGGAGTTTGAGTTCACTTAACAGGGCCTTCACCAGGCCCTGTTATCTGCTTTTTTGTTTTCTTGACGCGCTCCAGGGAGCCACGCCGCTCTTTCGGCACCAAGGGTGCCGACGTATCCATTGCCTCCTCGGAGACACTGGATGCCCGCACGTGCGGGCTGTTAATTCGAATTTCGGGCCTCGCCTGGTGAGGTGAGGCCTTGAGAACGGAGGACTCTGGAGTCTCCGGTCTCTGTTTGGGAGTAGGCGGTGTAGCCTGGGCTACAGCCGCCTTGGGGGCAGGTGCCACAACCACCGGCTCGGTATGCGCGGGCCGAAGGAGTGGCGAGGGCTGGTGCGGCGGTGCCCCCTGACGCGCCGCATCAGCGTATGTAAGTCCATAGAATGGAGCGACTCTTCGCTGTGCTTCTTTAAATGTAATGTTCTCCTAAACCTTCAACGTAATTATTTCTTTTTCTTTTTTCCAGTATGTGCAGGAGCGTGAATATGCGGCATGGTTTCCTTCGCAGTTTACACAGTGTGGGGGTTGTTTGCAGTTCTCAGACACGTGGCCTAGGACTCCACATTGTGCACAAGTCTGGCGACCACGACAGGTTTTAGAGCCATGGCCATACCTCTGGCATTGGAAGCAACGACGAGGGTTTGGTATGTACGGCCCGATAGATGTCTTTGTGTACCCTGTTTGAATAGATTCCGGTAGTTTACTGGATGCAAATGTATTAAGTGTTTCGTCGGTGTTTCCTTATTATCTCTTCTAATGATGATTCTCTGTACGTTAGTGACATTTTGGCTCTTCCACCCCTCCAAAAGTTCAGTCTCAGTCAAGTCAAGTAAGTCCATGTCAGATACCACTCCGCGAGTTGTGTTCATTGATCTATGTGGTGTTATGGTTATTGGTATGCCACCGAAATCTGAAAGACTGTCTAGCTTTTCAAATTGTTCTTTGTCACGGATTTCGAGAAGAAGGTCTCCACTAGCCATTTTGGTTACCTTGTATCCTGTGCAAAGAGTTTCGGTAAGACATCTAAAAACCAGGAAAGGAGAGACGGTTCTGGCTTGCTTTTCAGTTTTTTCACAGTGGATGACATGATAGTGAGGATATGTGTCTTTGGGCTGGTTAAAAAAGTTTATATCATTGGTGCGTACCCGCTTCAAGCCGGCACGATCAGACAGTAAGGGGAATGCTCTGTGCATGCCTGTCGTATTTTTGTTCAGCAGCGTTGGCGGCCACCCACCACGGAGCCCAATGAGGGGACGCTACAAGTTTGTGGATGCTTAAACCTGCAGACGCCAGCCGTACAACGCCACTATAACCCCATGCGCCTAGACCAAGGTAGGCTATTTGCACAGGGTTAACCCTAGCCGCCAGGAAGTTTGGAAGTAATCGGATGAGAGTAGAAGACAGGAGAGATAAACAGTAAGAGATAAAGACGAAGATGTAGGGAGAGAGAGATAGGAAAAGGCGACTGCCGATTTCCCCTGGGTGGGTCAGCCCAGGGGTGCCGTCTACGTGAAGCCGGGGCCAAAGGGGTGTGTTGCCTCTGCCGGGGGGCCTTAAAGGTCCAATCACCCAGCGTCGGCTCAACCCCCAGGATCCCCTTTTCCCCGGACACGGCAAAGCCACGCACGGCTAGGCGTGGGAAGGAGTCAAAACTCCCCTGTTAGCTCGGGTCCGTGGTGTCGCTACACACCAAACGCTACCAGCACAAAATATGATAACCAGAGAAGACAGAAAAGGGAATACCTAACAAGGTCATGAAAGCCTCTCAAAGCCAAACGAAAGTAAAGCGAATACTCACAAATTGTTCTCCTGTAAGCTAGAGGTTTATCCTTCCAGTAGATTGTGAGGAAGTAAACAGGAATTCCAGACAACATGATGCCGGCCCCAATAGATGTTTCCAAAGGCTGGCTGAAGAATGGTAGCACCACAAGGAACAGCGAAATGAGGAAGAACAATATAGGCAGTATGATGTTCACCTGCAATGCATAATAACTGTTAGTCCAGCACTTTCACAGTAGGCAGCAGTGTAATGCAGTTTAAAAGTGGACGAAACACAAAAGTGTTTAATGGCCACGTTTGGCAGAGTGCCACGAATGCAAGGCAGCAAGAATGTGTGTGTTTTTTCATGCATGCTCGTGGGTTTTACTTTCCACATGTACTACTCTGTTTTTCTTTCCTTAAGATGTATGCTCAATATTGACTCAAGCACTTAGGAGTAGCCAGCACCTTACTTGGGTGCCAACACTTGCTTATATATCATATAAATAAAAAACATAAAATTGTTCTGTACAGAACACATGTGCTGTAAGTGTGGAATAGTGAGCTGATTTGCAATGTCTGCTACGAAGTGCTGCTGCCACTTCAGCACACCTACAATGATTACACCTACATTGATTACAATGATTACAAGGCACCTACTTTTCATGAAGCAAATGTTTTTGTATTAATATATCCCTGCTGTTTTTTACTGCTAAAAAGACAAGCCACTCAATGTAAGCTTTCCAATATGTCGCAGAGAGTAATAACTCAACAATGTTATTACAAGTAACTTTATCCACAATTATTTCAAGAAATGGTACAAAAACAATAGGGACGTGTTCAGCATCTAACAGTGTGTAATGCCACTGTCATGTTCAATGACTGTGCTCAAATTTGCAGACAGTGAACCCACAATACTTAAGAATGTCAAGCTGACCTAAGCAAGTGAGCTGCACTGATGAAATTCAGTTCCGCAAGGGTCGGGACAGTGAACAAGTTAGAAGCGGAGGTGGGGTGGGGGGTGTGTGAACAAAATGCCCCGCAACGTTGTCATTTTAAAGAAGGCATATATCATATATGCATCACTTCCGAAGGGGATTTGGCATGGGGATTTGAGAAACTATCAACACTCTTCTCCACAATGACTGAACTATGAACGTCGATTATGAAATTGCGATTTTGTACCCTGGTTATGTTTCAACAGATCGTGGCCACATGGGCTGCCTCATGAAAAAAAATATGCTTCAGACCAGTGCAGTTCTTGCAGCTTACCCTAACAAAGCATTACTAACCGTAACAGGCAAGTAAATATGAGAGCACTGTATAGAGCACTCGCAAATATTTTATTACTTGTGAAGTCATGGGCCACTGAGAAAACTTATGCTAGCTGCATGCTTGAATTTTCTGACCCAAGTCAATCTTGTGCCTCACTTCATAGTTTGTAGAGGCTTGGCTGACAGCTTCAAAATCATATGCTATGAATGCAAAACCATTCAATCGCCAACGTTTTTCTTCTGGCACCATAACCACTCCAAAATGATCGACACCAGACAAGTTGCAGAATTAATGAGTAAGCGTGTGCAGGCTACCCCTTCAGGAAGGTGGGGGGGTCTAATGTTCGTGGCAGTGCCCCCCCTCCATACTATATGAATATATGGGACAGACTTCGAGCCCACCCTTCTTTGGCAACAGGGGGGGGGGGGGCACCCCCTCTGCTCCATCCCTTCCCTGCCCATGCCCCTATGCTACTGATAACAGTCATGTGATCATTGACATGAAGCTTTACTGCTTATGCCACTGCACACCAGCAATTTAGAAAACTATGCGTGGCTGGCACTTTGTTCCTCACTTGAATCATATCCACAAAGTGGGCACACCGTCCAGCTACACTAGTGCCCTCTATTAAGAACTGCCTACGACAACACAGACCAATGCAAGAGCCAATAGATGCTATACATCGGTGTAGCTCATTAATAACTTTCAATAGAAAATACATTTCTCCCATTAATCTAACAAACAACAATTGGACACTGCTGCATCTCGCTCATCCTGCTACTGCTTTTTCATCGCTCTCTGATACCTCTGTCTGATGCGAACATTAAAGGGTACCAAATAAAATGCACCATGAATTACAGAAAAGATAGATAGGTGTCAAAATTTCTATCAGTGCTGCTCCTGCTGAGGAAAAATGCTGAGCCAAGAAGCAATCAGAAAAGAGAACAATAGACCTGTGGATGCAACTCTGGACACACAAATGAAGCAAAAAAGATGCCGTAGTTCTTCTCTTCATAGCCTGCTCCCCTCTTGCCTACTCAGCGAGAAAAGGAAAGGCAAGGAAAGGCAAGAGACACGAATAAAGTCAGTTGAGAGTTGGGATTCATGCCGTGCGGTTGTCTTCCCTGCACAAAAGTGCATCACAATATTGGGGACCCAAACTAGGCTCACCCCCATTGCAGCCAATCAACACCATCATGCCTACATCACAGATAGAGTTCTCCAGATAGAGTTCTCCAACGCGAGGACAACAAGCTGGAGCAGCTGTTGATCATGACCACTGCCCTTAATCTGAATTGGTTCCCCATCCCCAGATCCTGGGACAAGGTTGGCTGCGACACAAGCATCAGCAGAACTCGCCCATTCATGCCTGTAAGCCTCCGTCAGCACATAGTCACCCTCACTCTAGGTTTTTAAGGATATATTGTTGCAGAAATTAAGACAAATAAAGCCATAAGTACTCATCGTATTAATTTCTTATTGCACAGGCCAAAAAAATAGGAGTTGACATTGTTTTCAGAGCTGTGAATAAGCTGAAAAAATGTGAGGCGTCCCTGTGAACAAAACAGTAGTGTAAAATTAAGGATGAAATAACACATTTCATAAAGCACACCAATACCATATGGACAGGATTCTGGACAAAGCACCTTTGAGCTATGGTTGCTTTTACAAAGGACACACAAATATAAATCAGATTGAGCATAATGGTTTGTTGACTAAGTGACCACCATCTGCCGTGAAATCCTGAGCAGAAGCCATTTCCCAATCAAGTGCCCACATTCACTTTCCGGTAGATTTAGAATATGCACCAATGAAGAGAATGCATAGTGAATTATTAACAGAGAAGCTTAGTCATTAAAAGAAAATTCGCTAAAGAATAATAATGGGCTGGAGTGCACACGGTACACTCCGGTACAATCATGACAGGCAATCTGCAGCTACCCCTAAAACAAAAAGTCTACAACCATTGCATACTGTGTGCTAAAATGTGGGACTGAAGGTGGAAGGAGAACAAAGAAACTGTGGAAGAAGTTATGGACTATGCAGCATCCAACAAAACAGAAAATGATACGCATAATATTAAGTTATAGGAAGGCAGCGAAATGGGTCAGAGAACAAATGAAGGCAGGCGAAATTATAGTTGCCATCAAGAGAAAGAAAAAACCTGGGCTAGACATGTGGAGGATGTAAAAGGTGGCGAGTTTGAGGAATGAATACCAAAAGGTGGGAACACAGTTAGGGATAATAGAGAGTTAGATAGAGTGACAAAACTAAGAAGCTTGCATAAGAATTATGAAATCAGCACAAAAAAGACGTAAATTGCAGATCATTGGGAGAAGCCTCAGTCCACAACAGTGACAACATCCCGAGTTGTCTCAAGCAGTGGGAGAAAAAAATGGATTGATTGATTCGTGGGGTTTAACATCCGAAAACCACCATATGATTATGAGAGATGCCGTAATGCTGTAATGAAGAGCTCCAGAAATTTCGACAACCTGGGGATATTTAACCTGCACCCATATCTGAGCGCATAGGCCTACAGCATTTTCGCCTCTATCAAAAATGCAGCCGCCGCAGCAGGAATTCCATTCCATGACCTGCGGGTCAGTCAGCAGCCGAGTACCTTAGACACTTTACCACCGCGGTGGGGCGGAGAAAAAAGATGGAGAAGATGCATAGACTAATGGACATTTTTTTTTTGGGGGGGGGGGGGGGGAATACAGTATTGTTTTTTTTCTAAATGAAAAAAATTTTCTTTTCGAGTCTGGTAATACTTGGGCATACCATCCTTGTATAACTGCACAAAGCTACGATGTCCTTGAGAACTCCAACTGAGCATAAATTTTACATAAAGCTGTAGTACAATACTCAAAATGTATACATTTGATCATTCTCTAGAACGAAATTCTTGATTAGTTATAACAATGCCTAAAAAGTAACTAACCAGATGTCATCAAGTAATCATTACTGATATTTCACTTACCCTATTTGCAGGAGGCACCAGCTTTTGCGTGCAAAAACTATCAGTGTCTCCATCAAGAACTATCATTTCAAACATCACATCATATATATAAATATGAAATTTTGCAATGCTAATAAATATAATAAGAACAGACATACCTTAATTGGTCGTTTTGTGTTTGGCTGCTTTATCCGAAGCCACAGCAGCCCACCCACAGACAACATTATGAACATGGCCTCACTAAAGGCAGTGTATGTTATGAGAACAAACACGTCTGTGTTTGTCAGGTACAGCAGGCTGAGAAGGCACTGAAAGAATAAGGAAAGAAGTTTTTAGATGTTTCAACAACCATTTAGGATAATTATCACTGGTAAAAACCCCCTCAAGGCTAAAGAGCGCAAACATTTTTAAAGCTGCACATTCACAAACGAGGAAAGCCACACTTTAAAGGTAGACTGGGGTCTCAAAGGAGCACCGACATCAAATTTCAAGATCGAGATGTGCCAATCATTCGATTGCTTGGTATGCATAGGTCTTCTTGGCCAAACTTGAATGGCATCCGTTGCATGGAAGTTATTTAATTCGATGTCAAACAGCATAGAAAAGCTAAGAAGAAAAAACAGGAAACAGACTGCCCTGCAACATCGACACTAGTACTACATGTTCGGTGTGACACATTCTACAAATACCATTCTGAGTGATGATACGCTAGTAACAATGACGTCGACGATATAAGTGTGTTCGGGGCCGACTCCTGGCTATGCTCTCACTAATGGCTCTCCTTGCTGTGTTGAAGCATGTGTGCGATTCATCGTGTCGCATCGACTGATTTGACATGTGCTCCACAGCGCGAGTACAATCATTCAGAGGGACAATACGTGCCAAAATGTCAGGGAACCGCTGCGCAGCGAGAACCTGCACGTTTCATGCCTTTCCAAGCCATGAACCTCAACGCAGCCAGTGGGTTGGCTTCGTACGCGCGGATGGACAGAGGGACTGGACGCCTAAGAAGAACAGCCGCATTTGCTCGCTTTACTTTGCGCCGAGCTGCCCAATGATAAATTTTGTGTTGGCGAAGGAGTTGGGTTTCACTGGCCGTACAAGGCCCCTTCTAGAGGCCGGGGCTAAAGGAAGAGGGGGGAAGAACGAGTTGGCGCTACTTAACCTAGCCGGCGGAAAACACATGGAGGAGCTTCAGTCTGCATCATCAGAGACACAGCTGGACTGACTGCACGTGCGCTCCTAGCAGACGAAATGCCAGTGTGTGTGACGTGACCATTTTTGTGAAGGCAACATCAGCTGTGCAGCGGACTCGACGCGGCGGTGAGGTACCACTGACAGCACTACAATTTGGCAGGCTTTCGACCCATTTTGAACCACGTTCGATAGCGCATATATAAATGAATATTACATATATTCATTCGTACCTCAGATGCGTTACAGGTCGCGAATCCCTACTAGGGGTCTATAGCTACTCGTTGACACAACCATCTTGACTTGAGTAAATTTGATATCAGTGCTCCTCTCAAATAGCACAAAATTTCAAAAAATGCAAAGTTTCGAAAATTGCGATTTGAGGTATTTATAGTATATGTTTTCAAAAAATTTTCTATTACAAAAAATACCATTTCTTTTTGTTAAAATCTTAATATATGAAATTACAAATGTTTTTAAAACTGCAAATATAATTTTGTTAGCATTGTTAGTCTTGTGAAGTTAATCAGCCTTAGAGAAGTTCCCAGCAAGTTTCTGCGAAGATATCTAAACAAACTTGGTATCATTCTCTCCCGCAGCACTTGAACTACACGCTGAAGCTTTTCTTTTACTCTCAACCTTGATATATTTATAACTATATAATATTTACCAGCTAATTACTGGAAGCTCATTTTTACCTTCCAAATTTGAAAATTATTTCCGATCAAAGAAATAGTCATTTTGACATCTAGTTTGCATTAGCCTGTGAGATGAACCTTTTAGAGAATACATGCAGTTTTGAAAACTAACTTTTTTATTGTGAGTTACTATAATGACTCGTAAGAAATTACCTAATTATTATGTGGAAATTTGTCATTAACGTCTTTCTAAATGAAATGTTTGAAATCTGTTTGCAGATCCATTGAATGATCCATTCAAATCTCCATTCAATTATACTCATGCATGGTAATTTTCATCAAAGTAGGACAATAAAAATTTCTTTAAGACCATCATCCTCCTTAGGGGCCCTGTGACACTTTTCGAGCATGGTCAGAAAATGCTGCCGATCGTTAGTAGAGGCTCCCGACAACATGCCAGCCAAATATTAGAGCACAGCACGCGGCCTGGAATTCACAATAAATTATCAAAGTCGGCTAAAAGTAGCTTTCTCTTCTCTCGACAAATTATGGAAATTAAGCCCAATAAGCCCATGTATCAGCCATTGGAAGATTTGAACATAGTGCGCTCGGTTGTTACAGAGGTCGTCACAAGAGGCCGCCACTTGTACACGCGAGCGCGCGAGATCACACTAAAAAGGCCGTGTATTCAAAGAAAAAAAAAGAAAAAATTCTCAAGGTCATGAGGTGCGAGTGACGTTTTTTTGTTTGCCTCTCCCATGCTTCCCTGCTCAACTTCCAGTGCTTTCGTCAGGACGAGAAAAGAGAGATTATGATTACAGCAGGTGACAAATCTTTGTAACTCTGCTCGTACTGGATGAATTCTTAAAACTTTTGCGCGTTCAATTTGAGAGGTAATACGCTTTTCTAGTGAATTATTTCCCTGGTTACTCAAAAAAGTGTTTTAGGGCCCCTTTAAGTGTTGCGAGATCAACCAGTTTTGATGAAAATTGATTAGCATGACTGCTACACATGCCCATATGAAGCCTCGTTTTCCTAATACTACTGTTTTTATGTTGAAATGAGTAGCCAACAATGACACACCTCTCTGCAAGCATCAAACATTCACTTGGAGAACTTTTCAATAAAGACACCGCCATAAGCATGCTCACGAGGGGGCAGGAGGGGGCTACCCCCCCCCCCCCTGGTCATCTAAGAATGGGCTTGCAAAATCTTCATATACATTGACTTCATACACCCCCCCCCCCCCAATGTATGAAATCTTCATACATTGGGGGGTGAACAAAATATGCCCCATACATTAAGATAACTAGTAACAGGGAGGGGGGAACTGCAACAAACCTTTGCCCCCTCCCCCTGAATAGGAACCCTGCGCACGCCGACGGACATCACTGCGCGTGAATAGCTCACGGAATGCAAAAATATGCGAGCATCAATTGTGTTACTTCAAAAGGGCATGCACATTACAAAGCAATATGTAGAAAAACAGGAAGTCAGGAGGGCCGCTTCAACAAGTGTCCACAAGAACTTGAATCTGTGCATCTCATAGTCGGTACAGTGCCATTAAAAAACCTCATTAATTATGTTTACAATCCTCAACCCAGTCACATGTTCATGAAAGCCATAAAAATTGATGAAACTTGTAACTTATAGCAAGCAATAAAAGTTTCCACTAACCAAGAACACTAGGCTGGGAGCTGGTGTAAAGTGTGACACATTAATCATAGCAAGGCATGTAGGCAGGTGTCCCTGTCTTGCACCTACAAAAAATAAGCTGAAATAAAAATGCAATCTGCAGTCAGAAACAGAAGAATAATAACAGATGCAGTGCAGCTTAGTAAGCGCAATATAATGATCTATCACACACAAAAATTCTTACATTCTAGATATATCCATGCCCGACCACTCAACTCCAGAATTTCACTTTAACAGAAAAATCTGATAAATCAAGGCACAGACTTTTCATTGGCAAATTACAATATTGTCAGAAAACACAGTTATGTTATTTACGCGGGTAATAAAGGCTCACAAGCAGTGTTGCAATGTCTATGTGATACAAAATTCATATTGCAAAGCACCCCTCTATTGCAGCACAGCAAGTGATAAGAAAAGTAGTTCAACCTTTCTTTCACATACATACACCCCGACTCAACAATATTTACCCATAGTGCATCTTAAAGGATCGACATGTGTTCATATGCTGAAGCTAAATTTTTTTTTCTTTGTTATGATTAGGGTGCAGTTTTTTAAATTTTTGTTCTCCCAGAATTTGACACTTTTTTTCTATACTTATTTCAATCCAAAAGCTAGCTTTTCCTTTCATTTTTGCACTATTTTATGTATGCACATTTATGTGTAGATGATATATTTTTTTCATCAACATCATCATCAGCCCGACTACGCCCACTGCAGGGTAAAGGCCTCTCCCATGATTTGCAAATCAACCCGGTCTTGTGCTTTGCGTTCCCACGTTTTACCCATAAACTTTTTAATCTCATCGGCCCACCTAAACTTCCGTCTCCACTTCGTGCATTTGCCTTCCCTCGGAATCCTGTCAGTTACCCTTAATGACCAGCGGTTATCCTGCTTGTGTGCTACATGTCCGGCCCATTGTCCATTTCATTTTCTTGATTTCAACTATGATCTTCTTGACCCCGGTTTGTTCCCTGACCAACTCTGCTCTTTTCTTGTCTCTTCGGGTTACACCTATCATTTTCCTTTCCATCACTGGCTGCGTGGTCCTCAATTTAAGCTGAACCCTCTTTGTAAGCCTCTAGGTTTCTGCTTCGTAGATAAGTACCGACAAGATGCAGCTGTTATATACCTTCCTCTTGAGGGTTAGTGGCAGAGTGGCAGATTACTATTCATGATTTGATAATGCTTTCCGAATGTGACCCACCTCCATCCTTATTTTTCTAGTTCTTTCACTCTCATGGTTCGGCTCCTCGGTTACTACATGTCCTAAGTAGACATATTCCTTTACAACTTCTAGCGTCTCTCCACCTATCGCAAAGTGCTTTTTTCTGCAGAGACTGTTGCACATTACGTTACTTTTGTGCATATTGATTTTCATACCTACTTTTATGCTTTACATGTCCAGTTCAGTAATTACGACCTGTAATTTGTCCCCCGAGTTACTCATCGAGGCAATGTAACAGCGAATTGCAGGTTACTAAGGTACTCTCCAATAACTTTTATCACCAATTATTCCCAATCTAGGGTCCTGAATACCTCCTATAAACACGTGGTGAATAGCACTGGAGAGATTGTGTCTCCCTTTCTTACATCCTTCTTTATTGGGATTCTGTCACTTTTTATGGAGAACTATGGTGGCTGTGGATCCTTTGTAGATTTCTTCCAGTATGTTTATATTGGGTGCTTCCGTGCTCCGATTCCGCAGTGCCTACATTACTGCTAAAGTCTCAACCGAGTCGAACGCCTTCTTGTAATCTATGAAAACTATGTACAGGGGTTGGTTGTATTCAGCGCATTTCTCTATTAGCTGATTTATAGTATGAATATGGTCTATTGTGGAGTAGCCGTCATGAAATCCTGCTAGGTCCTTTGGTTAATTGAGCTTTAGTATCGCCTTCATTCTATTAGCTATTATTTTTGTAAGTTTGTAGAGAACGGACACTAAAGCTGATCGGCCTGTAATTTTTCAAGTCCTTGACGTCTCCTTTCTTATGATTAAGATTATGTTGGCGTTCTTTCAAGATCATGGTACCCTTCCCATCAAGAGACACTTGTAATATAAGGTGGCTAATTTTTCTAGCACGATTTTTCGACACTTTCAGGAGGTCAATTGTTACCTTATCCTCACCAGCTGCTTCGCCTCTTTGCATTCCTTCTAGGGCTTCCTTTACTTCCCCTGTGGTTACTGGTAGGATGTAGAATTCATCTCGTTCATTATTGTTTCTCATGATTTCATCCTAGTTCTATTGGCTTCTGTACAGCTTTTTGTAGAACTCCTCCACAATCTCGACTATCCTATCCATGTTGCTTATGACATTGCCTTCCTTGTTCTGCAATGCATACATCTGATTTTTGCCCAAGCACGAGTCTGCCTTCGTAGCTTTTAAGTTCCTGCCGCTTTTTAAAGCCTGCTCAATTCTTTCCATGTTATACCTCCTGATGTCGGCTACTTAATGCCTATTGATTAACTTCGAAAGCTCCACTAGCTCTATTTTGTCAGTTGCATTTGAAACTTTAATTGTTTGCCATCTCTTAATAAGATTTTTGTCTCCTGAGATAGTTTGCCAGTTTCGTGTCTAGTGACTGTACCTCCAACTTCAATTGCTCACTCTTTGATGATGCTAGTAAGATTATCGTTCATTGTGTCAACACTAACGATGGTTATCTCGTTTAGTGCCTCGAATCGATTCTCAAACAAAACTCTGAATTCCTGTATTTTTCCTCTCACTGCCAGCTCATTAATTGGCTTCTCGCATATGACTTTTTGTCTTTGCTTTTTTTTAAATATAGGTGAATATGAGCTCTTACCATTCTATGGCCCCTGTATCTAATCTTGCCAACTACTTCTACTAGAACATGTACAATGTATGTGTGTGCACACAAAATGAAGTCAATTTCATTTTTCGTTTCACCATTCGGACTTCGCCTCGTCCACTTACGGTTAGCCCATTTTTTGAAGAAGGTATTCACGTTCTGTGAACTGTACTAATAACGCCCCTCTGTAATTTCTACAGCTGATGCCATATTCCCCCATTGCATGATCTCTGGGCTGTTTCTTGTCTACTTTGGCATTAAAGTAGCCCATCAAAATAGTATACTGTGTCTTTACTTTATTGATGGCTGACAGTACATCTTCATAGAATCGCTCGTTATTACGAAGCGTTTACTTTATTAGGCTAACTGTAGATTTAAATACTAATATGTATACCTGACTGCCGTGTGAGGGCCACTGTCTACTTCTATATCTCTCTACTATGGTTTTTAATTACTACCCCAAAACGTCACGAAAATAGGATACAGCCTTAAAGACAGCGCCTGTCTGTTTTTTAGCAATTAGAAACTTTTTGCGTTTAATTTTCATGAACTCCAACCGCCCGCGGCGTATATGCTCCACATAAGAAGCACATTGAAGTAGCCGATTAGTTGCAAAACAGGTGCATGCAAGGCGTCAGTTGACAGGAAACGTCAAGGTAGGGGTGTGACCACTCGGAACCAGCAAAACTCTGATATAGCGGACACTCTGAAGCCAACACTGTCAAAATTGAGTGAGACAGGAAGAAGTTACGAGAGATCAAACAGGCGAGAAAGAGGGTCACCCAAGGCACTACTCCGCCCTAAGCTCCCAAGGTCAGAAGTTTGAAACCACCCAAGAATATCGCTGGCAACATAGAGAAATAATATAGCATCAGTGAGAGGTTAGCAAGTATTATAATTAAGTTTAACAAAAAGTACAAGATGAAGGTGGTAGAGGCTTACACGCTTATATCGAGCCATGATGATATTTTTTTAGAATGTTCCTAATGGCTAAGTAATTCTGTATTTAGGTGTAGACATCATTGCAACCCTAAAAGAAAATTTTTAGCTGGACTAATGTAATGTATGTATGGGCACTTCATGCCAAGGATGTGCAAAAAACCTGTACATTTTTTATCTGTAAAAGTTAAGAAAGAAGGAAAAGTTCAAACGACAAACAAAATTGTTAATACAGTAGACTCTCAGTAAATAGAAATTTATTAAACAGAACTACTGCTTAAACGAAACTATTGCCTCTGCTATGCTTGGTTTCGGGCTTGTAATCTGCACCCACGTTCACCTCTCAGTAAACGGAACACCTGTTAAATGAAACATATTTTCCCGGTTCCTTCAGGTTCTGTTTACCGAGAGTCTACTGTATATGATCTATGTATTTGTCCACATAGCGATTTTCAACAGGCTTCAAATTCAGCAACATACAGGCAAGCTGCGTGACATTCTGGATGTCATATTGTTTTGCACACTTAAAGGGGTACTGACACCATTTTTCGAAGGAGAGTTTAGTCTGCCATACAAATCTCTTGTATGTAGAGACAACTCTTAGCAAGTGCGAAGCTCAGCAAAAGCTGATAAAATATTTAATTTTATTTCCATATCAAAGTAATGTCTACCATATGGAGCAAATAAAGACATCGGCACTATCTTCAGGTCAGGCTACAGTACTAATTCTAGCGACTTCATTCAGCAGCCTAGATAGTTGTGATGACATCGTGTACTAAAACTTCCAAAATGGCCGCTTCTGCGTCGCCAACAGTGCCGCAGTGCAGAACTGATGTGGAAACGTCACGTCTTGTGTGAGCACGTGACAGGAAGCTCATATCGTGTTGTGAAATCAGGGTACAGTAGAAACTAGGTTTTAAAAACATACTGTAATTACATTCTTAAGGTGCACTCACAGTTAGCAATACATCTTCTAGGCTATTAAAGTTTTGGCCTTTCATTTGATGCAGAAAAACTGCAACTGAAAACTTTGCTGTCATTACTGTGAATACTATCAAACAGAGACAGTTGTTCCTTTAGTTTTACAACAGAAATCCTGTACTCAAGCCAGCACCTCCTGTGGGGTTCTGTATCTAATAATGGTACCAAAACTGACAGCAATTAGCAAATGTAACTAGAAGGGTTTGATACTCCTAGCACAATACAAATCACTTATAGGCATAAGTGTATGCAAACCATTTTATAAACAGCCAGCAGTGAAATTGTGCCTCATACTTGAAAGTTTGAATGTGGTATTCAAAATGTTCGCTGAAAGTGAAGAAAATGAAAGTTTTGATTCACTGTTCTTTCTCAGAAAAGCACAGTTATCAAAATGGTGGCTTGATTTTTATAGCATCTGTATGAAACTATAATTAACTTACCGAGAAGATGCAAAAATGCCACCATTGAGGCCTCCAAATGTAGAAAGCGCCACAGAAACTGGCATAATCCATGACACCACACCAAGAATCTTTTCCCCAAATGTCTGCAATTCAAACATCACAAAAATTAACATACACACATCCTTAATTTCGATGTCAACCAGTATAAAAGAACAACAATTACACCAGGTGTTTATCCTGTTTCTTAGCTTCTTGCTAGTAGACATGCATCTGCTCAAGAATATTTATAGATACAAATGATGGGTCCAAAAAACAAATTGCATAAAGATTTCTACAATCATAACAGGAAGCTATTGTTCCAAATACAATAAAAGCTTTCCCAAGCAAGTATATCTGTATACAGCCCAGAGGTACACATGGACAAATTCCAGCAAAACATTTACCAGACTGTAAATTTAAAACATTGTTAACTATTCCCTAAATCATTCCTGCCATGAGGAAGATTATAAACAACTAATAATTATGTGACCTGTCTATTTTCCATTTTCCTTCAATATCTCAGTGTTTCTTTAATTGTGACAAAATAAATTTTTCATCTATTTAAGCATGGTTACCAGTGCTATGATGTACAGGCTTTCAGTATTACTTTTCATTGTTTTTCACCTTTGAAAAACAAGCTTTTCGATTGGTTATTACACTCTGCAAAAACTTTTCTTGACAGCACTATGGAAGCTACAAAACTGAAGAGCATGCCTGCTACCAAGCTAAGAAAGAGTATTCAGGTTAACTGATAATTTCCTCCTTTGACTTGCTAAAATAAATGCTGCTTTATTTAATATGAAACTCATACAGTTGTAGGAAGTTATAGGTAAAATACAGCAATTGTTCACTTTGTAGGAATGTCTTCTTTTTCTTTTCCATTTTTTCAGCAGACCAGTTTTACAAAAAAAAACATGGCTCCATGCAGTAGTTCGTCTGTGTGTGGTTGCGAATACTCCGTTTAGTTCTCCAAGAATAATATATTTATTATACAACACTAAAATATACATTGAAACAGTGAAATGTTTGTCACATTCACATTAATTTTCGCGAATATATTTTCTAAACACTTTAACAATATGTGTAAGTGAAACAGAAACCAGCCGCAAGCAGCAGTACTACTTGCGGAGAAACACCAATGTGTGAAAGCCCCTTCTCCATAGCCTTCGCTCCAATGTCAAGATAAGTTGTCACCGAGTAGATCTCATTTTAATACTGCATTTTCAAGAAAATTAGTGCATTTCTGTTGCCCATTTCTCTACTGAAACAATGGACATACATTCATATAAATAACTATGGTTTCAAATTACTAAATGGTGTGATGAGTGCACTTACCACAGCAACAGCATTTGCTGACTGAACTTCGTCAGCAGTGAGGACAACAAAGTATGCAACATTGGCAAGGAGATATATGATTGTCACCATGGGTAATGAAATGTAGATGGCAAATGGCAAGTTCCTATGGAAAGAAGATATTTGAGCATTGGAGTGTGGTAAAAATGCACTTAATAAAGAGGTCATGTTAATATTTCAAAGGAACAGCATAACTACAAAGTGAGAGGCTGCCTACATGCCTTCGTCACATAGCCTGTAGCGACTGCCCCTTCCCGTGGGCACCAGTGGTCCCGTCCCAGCTTCATGGCAGCAAGCCAACATAGAATTTCGTATAATAATGCTTCGGCCATTCAGATACTGTGTCCTCTTAGTTGACGTATTATTACAAGCATCATGAGCCTGTCACATCGAATGCAGGACAAAGGCCTCTCCCAATGATCTCCAACCCCACCTGTCCTGCATGAGCAGATTCCACATTATGCCTCCTAATTTCCTCATATTATCACTCTAACCCTCTGCTATCCTCATCCTCGTTTCCCATCTCTTGGCTTCAATTCTCACATTCTAACTGACCATCTCTTATCTGACCCTCTCATGACAACTTTCACAGCTCGATGTTTACAGTAAAGTTTCATGTCTCTACCCCAGAACAATTCCGTTTCTGTAGGCTAAAAACAAAATGCCAGGCCCCTAAGCCACTAGCAGACACTGGCGCTCGCATACTCCTCTGCTAGCAGATACGTGCACTCGTTGCATCCCCTCGAATGCTGAGGAAGGTCATTCGAAGAGGTGCACAGGCAAGCTGGCGAACACGTCTGCTGTAGACTCATGCACAACTGCAACACCTCAACTAAATTTCCATCGCTTGGTGGTGTAGACATCCTTTAACTGCCGAGAGCAAATGGCACCTCTTTTTTTGCAATGAGGTATACAGCACAGTGGTATTTGTTTCAATAAAAAAAATGACAGTACAAGCATCATAGCTCCATGCTGGATCATAGGGCACCCGTGAACGATGGCAACACCCTCCCATGTGTTCCCAGTACAGATTAGATTGCACCTGCTTTGCACTTCACAGGAGGGCTTCGAATGATGTTAAACGGTCCTTTCTCTAAACGTCATGCGTTTCCCGCATTCGTATATAAAGGAAGAGATGCGTCTAGTGGCTCATTCAGTTAAATCTCAGGTTGTCAAGAGTAGACCGTGGACATTACAGACACCGAATAAACTATTTAAATATTATGCTCGACCAAAGGAACGAACTCGTCTAACTTAAATGGTCGCAGAGCCCCTCAGGGCCTATACTCCAAAGTAATAATAAAAACACCCCTCCTTCCCTCCCATCATAATAGTGTTTTACACAGCTTCGCTGGGCATTCCCTTTTGCAAGGCAGGATAGCGGCCAATTTTTTTCCCTTTTATTATGTACTATTTCATTTCGGGTGGAGAGCATCCCCCTAAAATAGTCATTTTTCGCTCCGCATGTCATGGCGATAAACAAGTTCTTTTTTGCGGGGAACGGGGGCATGGAGTGGCATAGCCACTGGCTACGCCACTCCATGCTGGTGCTGGTGATAGCGGTAATATATGCCACATGGTGGCGAGAGCATGAACGTGATGAATCATAGCCAGAAGGTGGCACTCCCGAGCCCTTACGCCCCCCCCCCCCCCCCCCCGAATTTTTTCACACTATGGATATATAGCGCAAAATGTCCGTTTGCCTGCCTGACCCCCACTTTTGACTTTAGATGAAGAAGCTCCCCTGCCCCCTGCCAAAGAAATTTCTGCATACAGCCCTGTGACGGTGCGAATGGGGAAGCCCTCCATTCCAAAATTTTTCAATTTTGTATCTGCTTCTCTATACGCGCACGCATACAAGCATGCCTACCGAGATAAAGAATAGCTTTTTTTATTTATATTTAGTAAAACATCTGATCCACTGTAATCCACACTTATTTCTTGGATATCTACCATTTTTTTCTTACATTGCGCACTAAGTGGTCTTCATCTTGTTCAGTTTCTTTGTTATTCTCCATGTTTCAGCTCCATATGTTGAAACTTGTAAGAAGGCACAAACAACTTTCATAAGCTTGATAGTATAAAGGTTTTCAGTAGTGTCTCACTAATGAACATTTATAGAAACCTAAAATTTTGTACATTAGCCATATATTCCTTTCATTAATGATCTGGCATGTGTAGTAAATGGTTTTTGAGACAGACAATTCGAAAGCACTTGGTATGGTGTATGAAGGAAAGAGGTATATATTCAAGAGCTCGTTTTTCTTTGTTCGACACAATATCAATGCCACCTAACAAATAATCATGCCCGGAAGTATAGGGTATGTTATTAGAAGTACTAATTGCAATGTAAATGTGAAGAAAGAAAAGTGAACGAGAAGATAACTTGCAGTGGGCAGGGACCGAACCTGCGACCTTCGAATAACACATCCAACGCTTTAACAGCTAAGCTATCACGGCGACTATCCCCCGTCAAGTTTATGGGGTACGTATGTGCATTAAACGTGGGAGTGTGAGTTGGCACCAGCAGTAGCCATGATGCAAGAGTAGAACACTTTTCCTGCCTGTTTGGCATCATGTAGTACGTAATATTATTACGAGTTGGCAGCTGACCAATAATCCCTCGTATACTACCTGAAGCAATCAATTCTGCCAGAACGAGACCTTTGCTGTGAATGAAGGAAAGAAGTGTACATTTAAAGGCTTGTTTTTCTTTGTTAGACACAATATTAATGACATCTAACAGACAATCATGACCGGAAAAGTATAGGGGATGATATTAGATGCAACTGCAATGCACATGTGAAGAAAGAAAAGTCGACGAAAGATGACTGGCCATGGGCAGTTACCGAACCTGCGACCTTCAAATACCTCGTCCGATGCTCTACCAACTGATGAGTGTAGGACGTTTCTCTCACATACCTTATTTTAAAAACAATTACATCACCAACATGTCACACACATATGAAACACCAGAACCATGTGTGCGCCACTGCCTGTATATTTCATTCCATTATTAAAATCTGAAATGATTTGAATTATAGACACACTTGTACTTTCCGGTAAACAATCGATAAAACAGCCAAGTACAAAATCCACCAGGAGCAGCCTTTGGAGCAAACCTAATACAGTTATTCAAGTGTCGCTCTTTTGAGGCAATTGTGTCCCTCTTTTGAGGCTTACTTGCTTGCCCCGAATAAAGCCACAATATACTTTTATAGAGCTAAAGTACAAAGAACACATAAAAAAAGTTCCAGGGCTGCTGCTTGTGAAAGCACAGGGTGCTGCTTGAGAAAAAAAACGTCATAGTTGCAGTACAGTACAAAAACCTCATGAAAGAAGGATAGAGACAATAAAAACCTAGCGAAAGTACAGTGTAAACAAAGCTCAGAAGGATGGAGTCGATCAACTTGGCACCTTTTGAGTTACTTCTATTCATCCTGTATGCTGTGCCACGGCCGCTGGATGAAAGAGGGCACGGTACGGCCCGCCACATCGAGCGGCTTTCTATGGGAGAGCGCATGTCAGCCATAGGGTCAGTTGCGGCCGCTGCAGCGCGACGAGACGGGGGCGGGAAGGACGCGAAAATGAGAGGTGTTGGCTCCCTCCGGGCAGAAGCCACAGCAAATTAGCTGGCGTTTGTCACAACAGTGACCCACTCAGTTGGTCTAATCAGTGTTTCTTTTTTAAATCTTATTATACACAGCGATGACACATCGCGTATTTAGTAGACTATGAGGTGCAATCTAGTTAAAAAGCCAATTGATTTTTCAGAGCCAGCTCCTTGCTTAGAAGCTGAAAGAAAAACCTACAATGCATAAAGCTGAATAATATGGCACTGAATGCATGACAAAGTCATTCTATTTATGAAGATGTGTGAACTAATGTACTTTGATTTTCAGGATGTCTATTGAGCACTTTCGTGTTTTGTATGCTGGAATGCTTGACAATTTATTTTTTGGACACTTGACAATTGATCTGTATAGTTTTGACATGCTTAAAGCATATAAAAGAAACATATTTTGAATATTTTTTTAGTCCGTCCGTCCGTCCGTCCGTCCGTCCGTCCGTCCGTCCGAATACAACGTTTTCTGAAACAATGTACTCGCAGTTACTATAATCAATTTAGATGCATTAGAAAGGCATAGCTCTTCCAGACCTATTATTTGTGATATATTAAAGTCCTAGTAAAATGTGCTCACAATTCTTACTTCCGCGAAAACTGATTAGTGTGCAAGGTTCCCTCTCGAGTAAGACAATACGAAAAATTTGCAAGGGTTGCAGGTATCTAAAAGCAAGGTCAGTAATTACCTGATGGGCACACGCCAAATGGATATTAAAAGAAGATTTCGCGGGTCACAAAAAGATGACCACGCTCAATCGTAACTACCGCAAGTGCGCCGCACATGCGATTTCATGGGCGCTCGCGAAAACTGTCCCCCCCCCGGTGGCACCGCAACGGTGGTTCAGGAACTAGACCTGTCACGCCGGTTTTGAAGCGCGCGGCAGGCCGTACCCATGCGCTCTTTGATCCAGCGGTCGTGGCTGTGCAGTGTAACAATGAATTACCAACTACCCACGTAACCAGCTTATTTTGCTGCAACGTAATTCATTAGGTGACTAGAACAGTTTGTAAAGTGGTTTGTTAAACAGATGTTGTGACCTCCTAACCAACATTTTCAATCATCTCACAACACTTGTCTTTCAGGGCCACTTCTGTTTTGCTGCAGGATTAGGGAACATTTTATCATGGGCAATGTTAAAATTTTTCTCTAACATTCATATACAATCAAATGATGTGTAAAAATCAAGTAAGTGGCACAACTATTAAGTTCAAACAAAAACAAAGTAAACAAGCACATACCTAAAAGGGTTCTTCAATTCCTCAGTTACAAAGTTCAAGTAGTTCCTGCATAGGAAGCAGAAAGTACGTTGTAAATGCCACAAACAAGCAAAGTCTCCCATATTTGAAAAGGATGAAACATTGATATCACAGTGCAGCCTACAAAAGACAAACCTTCCCCGCAAACCTTAAAAGTGAGCGAAGATCGTGTTCATCCATTTGTGTGTAAAATAGTATACTTTCAGCGAATTGCATGACATGACTGCCACATCATGACATTACTGCTACAACAAACACATTTGCAACAGAACACATCCTCAACATTTGTAAACCACCAAACCATGTGCAACAAGCACCTCGAACTGGCACTGTGAGTCAGCATGCTTTTGAATTTATAGCCAATATATTCAGCTTACCATCCTGCATAGGAAAAGAGGCCAGAATAAAAGGACAAACAAATGAGCCCAGGATTCCTAGTAGTCCCTTCAAACATGTTCTGGAGGTTTCCTGTGTTCCCTGCAACACAAAAAATATGGAGTAAATTCCACTGCAAAGAAAATCATAATATGCCTATGTACATTTTAAGTGCCAAACAAATACCACTAAAAGTCACTGAAAAATGCAGAAAACCTTAAACTAGTTGCATAAAAGTCAGTACAAGTCAGTACAAGCAGACAGATTGGAATAAATATGAATAGCACTGCTCCACAAGGATTTCAACTTGAGCTTGCTGGTGATTCATCTCAATAGGAACTGTTGTGCAGAAAAAACAGAAACACGAGAATAATGATAACAATTGATGCGGTTTGACATTCCGAGAACACAATATGATTATGAGAGATGCTGTAATGAAGCGCTCCAAAAACTGTGACCACCTGAAGCTCTTTACCGTGCACCTAAATCTAAATACATTGGCCTCGAGCATTACCGCCGCCATCAAGAATGCGGCCCCCATTGCCGGGATTGGATACCGTGACCTGCAAGTCAGCATCGAGCACAATAACCACTAGACCACCATGGCAGGTCTGGGACACAAGAAGGAACACCCTGTCTGTCTATGTGTGTTCTTTCTTGTGTACCTGTTTTCTGTGTGCAACAGTCCCCACTTCTTCCCACTTGCCACTGCATATCTGTTTCTCTGGAACAATTGAACAATAAGCTAAGCTTTTCCATTTGTCACGAAAGCACAAGTATAAAGCACATGATTTTCACTTTGTCAGAATGCTTCAGTAGACTACATTCTTGAAAGACATTCAAATGGGACATCAATTAGAGAGAAGATGGAGGCCTAAAGTAAGGAGACATTGTTGAACAAAGTGTTGCTGGAACAATGCTATGACACAAGGACATGCCTGACTTCGAAAGTCCCATTGTTAAAATGCTGGCTCCAGCAGGATTACTCGTATCATTGTAGGAAAAAGTAATGTTATGCAATGATTGTGGAGGTACTATTACATTGCAAAAACTGCCATGAATAATTGGCTACACTTGATTATGGCATGAAAATGAAAGCTGCAATATTGGGAGAACAAAAATGGCATCCACAACACAGCCATCCTATACAGACAAATAAATATATTTCATATGTGCACTGGCATTAATAGTCCGAATTGCTTTCGCAGCTTGAAACACAATGTACCCAACACAACATAATCTGTTTCAAGTGAACACCAGACAAGGTTAACTATTTAGGTTACTCAAGATTACGTATAGTAGTCGTAGTAGTAGTAGTAATAGTTTTAAGGAAATTAACAATACAGTTATCATAAATGTACACAACTACGCCACTACTTGGCATCCATTTCAATTTCTACCAAATCTACAATATTTACAAAATAGATAAGCCTGCTCGCACTATGCGAGTAGTATAGAATAAGGAGGAAGATATTACTGAAATCCACTGGTGTACAAATCCACAAGAGTATTTCCAAAGGGCCACCTTAGAAACCCTCAGTTGCTATGGGTCATGAAAAATTGCTATGGGTCAAAAACAGCGAGGTCATTTGTTGCTGGTCATGCATGGGAAGTTACTCTAAAAACACAAAATTAAGTGGTGTGGAAATGAAACTATAGGCTGTTTCATTGCAAGAAGCTTGGCTGACCAAGTTCAAAGTGCTTTTAGTACAATAGTTCAGCTGCTTTCTTTTCAGAAACTTTTATGCCCACCAATTAAAGTTACGTGACTGATATTGTGAAGTGCCCCGCCGCGGTGGTCTAGTGGTTAAGGTACTTGGCTGCTGACCCGCAGTTCGCGGCATTGAATCCCGGCTGTGGCAGCTGCATTTTCGATGGAGGCGTAAATGCTGTAGGCCCATGTGCTCAGATTTGGGTACATGTTAAATAACACCAGGGGGTCAAAATTTTTGGAGCCCTCCACTAAGGTGCTGCCTCTCGTAATCATATAGTGGTTTTGGTACATTAAACCCCATATGTCAATCATGATAATGTGAAGTCTAATATTTGGGAAATAACTGAAACACACACAAGATTATGGGGCTGTTTTGCTGCATGTAGAAGTTCGTTAGGCTCAACATGTTCTATATAGAGGGTGTTCTACAATGCTCTCATAATAGGCGCTCCAATATATTCAAGGTTTGTTCTAATAAAGTGAATTCTGTAGGACACACAGTTTAGAATTACCTCACTCTTTCAATAATCCACCATTAAATGGAACATATTGTGAACAAGCCTTGAAAAGAAAAAAAATATACTCACCTTGAGCAAGGTGCACAACACCAGCGATAATGATTATAACCAAGGCAATGACCTTAGCAAACATGAGGGAATCTTGAACAAGTGTTGCCCACTTGACATTGTAGCAGTTGATAAATGTAAGTAAACCTATTAATAAAAAAGAAAGGAAATAGGATTGGAGGGGGGGGGGAGGGAGTGACAAGACCATTAACAAGAAAGTTTGAAATCAGAATAAGGCACAATGATAATTCAGGTTTAACTACGGCACTCGTATATTCATAAAACCTACGTGCAATACAAGTTCTCAGGCTAACACGGCGCATCAAACGGTTAAACCATACGATAGACTCGTATACGCCCACACCCAATGTTATGCGAGCATATTACCAAGGTCTCCCAGCAGGCATAAGAGATCCTGTGCGGAAAGAACACAGACTGTGGATGAACGTACTCAGGAGACGAAGGTCGTCTGATGATGAGACACGGGCACGCAGGCGGGCGCCGAGCGAGACAGGGCATCGACAGTGCTTCACATAAGGAACAGCAGACGACACAGCAAAATGGGTGGTATTTCAACATCAAATTAGCGCAAATGAAGGGGGACAAAAAGCCAAGACAGACAAGGTGCCATCATAAGGTAGCTGAATCGTTGTACCCACCGCATTCAGACACTTTCTGCTTAACGAGAAAGTAAGATAGGTATTTTTTTTTTTTTATGTTGCACGCCAACTTTCAGCGAAAATCAATTTTGGCTGATGCAGTTTCACGAATGAAAACGAGAAATGTGCTTAATCATGCGGCCGAGTCACAAAGTCATACAGCCTGCGAACGCGTATCTGTTGATCGAAAACACTCGATCGGTGCTTACATAAGACGATAGCTGCAATGAGCCTGACGGCCATGGGTGGCGGAATGCAGTCCACGTCATCGTAGAAGGGCCGCAATACGTAGTTCGCAAACGTGAGCGCTACGATGGCATTACCAGCCGGCTGCACTATCACGAGCATCGTCCACAGTTGAAGAAACGCGGGAAAAGGCCCGAATGCGGTCAAGATGTAGGCGTAGTCTCCCCCTGACATGGGAATCATGGTGCCCAGTTCGGTGTAACATAGCGCGCCGATGAAACAGGCCGTGCCCGAGAGTGCCCACACGACCAAAGACATTCCTATGGATCCGGCATAACGCATGACGCCAGCAGGCGACACGAAAATGCCGGCCCCGATGATCGTGCCAGCGATCAGCGACACTCCGTCGGCGAGGCCGAGCTTCTTCTTGAGCTGGACGGCATCTCCTGATGCATGGCTGTCTGGAAGCGAATCTTGCTGAATGTCAGGAGACTTGGGCAGCAGGGGCGACGTTTCGCTCGGGCACTCGCTTCGAACCATTATTCACGCGGGCGACAGCAGATCAGTGAGGAGCAAGCGATCCTCGACAGAACGAAGCGCTGTCCAAGGAAAGTGATAATGTGGGACCGGACACACAGTACTTCGAGCGTCTTTGGGCGATGTTAAGATAGTATCGATCTTGGGCTGCGGCAGCGCTCGCTGCTTACAAGCAATCAACTGCCGAAGACTAGTTCCGTCCGGCCGCTGATAGGTTCTACGTCTGACTTTGGCCAACGCTCTTTCTTTCACGGTTGGGCCCGCATAATAAAGATAACGCGATAAGTAAAAGAATCATAAAACCGGCGATGAACGGCTAAGCCCCAAATTAGAGCGTGAAGAAGAAAATCGTCAATGACTTCAACTCTCCGATAAGATGGTTTGAATGCGACGCTCTTCAATTTAGGGAGGAAAAAAATTAACGATGTAAGAACGGGTGCGACGCTCTTCAATTAAAGGAGGAAAAAATTAACGATGTAAGAACGGGCGATAGTTATAGCGCGAGAACAGAACAAGGACAAAGGGACAAGAAGGAGTCTCCTTGTCCCTTTGTCGTCCTGTTCTCGCGCTATAACTATCGTCATGTCATACCAACTATAACCCAAACTGCCACACTTGTAAGAACGGGCTTTCAAACGAAAACGGGTCCCTATTTCTCTCAAGATATGCGCTACTTCACAGCATGATTTCTAGCCAAGGGTTTCTTTTTAATTATTATTTGAAATCCTTACTTTTTGTTCATTATTGTACCGACGTTTAGAGCATTCGCTAACCATCATAGCACAGGTGTTCCCTGCTCATAGCAACGGGCAACCGCAACTGTTAAATCACGGCACGTCATACATGGAAGCACCATACTTCAAACATTCTATCCTCATCTGGTACGAATTGTGATGGACGGTCAGTGAATACGACAAATTTCAATAAATCGTGATAAGGCGCAGGACACATATTCTTGTGAACCATATTAATTACGGAGCAAATACATATAACATATGTATTGTTCGCATGTATATATGCTCACATAAAAATAAGTGGATCACTGAATCGAAGTAACTATTCACCATGATCGTAGCCAGGAATTTTTTTTTTCCAGGGGAGGAAAGGTCACACTGACCCGACAGGGGGGTGGGGAGGGGGGCAGGCATCAGCTTTTTTTTGTGACATGCCTATCAGCGGTAGTTTGAGCAGATTGTGTACATGCATGTCAATGTTACGAGGCTCCCCCTCTTGTGACTGTGCAAGTAAGAGTAATCACAGTAAAATGCAGTAAACGACAGAAACAGTGGCCGTTTGGAGCAACGGCCTCTCGTCACACCAGTGAATGGACTAGTCTTCGATAACGCATCACTAACTGCGACGGCCCGCCCGATCGGAGAAGACTTAGATAACCATTAATCTCTGTTAAGCATGGATGGCGTACTCCTCGTCGGGGCGAAGAGAGTTTCACAAATCAAGGACGGCTCCGCTTACAACGCGGAGTGAGAGGTACACACAGCACGTTTTTGTACATTCGTATATTTCTCTGCTGTTGTTGTCACGGTACTCGAGATGAACGAAAGCTTTCTCCCATTTACGACCTCCTGATAAACGGCACCACGCGTGTGAGCTAAATATACTTCTGTATTTTTTATGTCTCCCCCCTCCCCACACCAAAGACGAACTTCACGGCAATCACAATTTACTTTTTTTTAAATTCGAGATTTGGAGTTGCGTTGTTGTTTTTTTTTTGGATATTCGTGACAGTCCAATAACAGCGCACAGACAAGGGATAAAATGACGCGCAAGCGTTCTTCCTGCTTAAGCGTTATTAACGGGGCCATTTACAATTCGTTCAACATGGCTATATAACGCTGCCAATCGGTAGTCGAGGCTTCTGAGGAGAACACGTGAGTCAAACATTATAGCGCACCAAGCGGCCTGGCATCGACAATTAATTCTCAAAGTCAGCTCGAAATCGCCCCCTGTTATTTTTGCAAATGATGCCACATACGCAAATGACTGCGCCGTATACCAAAATACACGACCATTGGCTGAGTTAGCCGAGAGTTGAGCAACGTGAGCCCCGTAGTTACCGCGACCGCCGCGGGAGGTCACTCCATGCCCGCGTGCGCTCACACTGAAAGTAGGCGGCGAAATCTATGATAAGAAAATGCTCGAGCTCATGACGCATGCGCGACGCAACATATTTTCACCGGGTCTTCCCTCCCTGCTTATCTTTCAGTGCGCTCGTCGGGACCAGAGAAAGCAATTACAACGTGAGGTAGGTACATCTCTGTACCTCCGCTCGTACTTGACGTATTCTAAAAAATTTTTGCAGCGGTCGATTCGCGAGGTAATTAAAAAACAAAATATTCAGTTATTAGCACATTCTGCAGGCCACGGGATGACACAATTCACGATTCTTGAAAGGTGATTGTTATGAGTATATATATATATATATATATATATATATATATATATATATATATATATATATATATATATATATATATATATATATATATATATAGAGTTTATATTAAAAGAAAAACATGTGACGTGAAACTTTAATCGCTAAGATATCGTTGACAATATGCGCGCACACACTGCGGGTAGGTGGTTAATGCCCAGCTCTCCAGTTCAGCATTTCAACAGGCAGATATTGTCTAGAGAGCGAATAAAAATATACAGGAGGAGTTCACTAGAAGTCGCATAGTCATAGTTTCTTGTTTTTTTCTTTTACCAACTATTCTTGCTGAGCAGAATTACGATCCAGCCATCTGCTCTTCTGCGCACTTTCAACAAGTGAAATGTACGGGACCAAGAAAGAACGTCGGTCAAGGCCAAGGAGGTTTTTCCCCTACGGCTCGTGCAGCGGAAGACACTGTCAGCACTCAGTTTAAACTGCGAGAAGTACAGCACGAGTTCAGACGAAACAAGGTGTCGGTTCCAAAGATCGTACACAGACGCACATCAAAAATATTGCCACATTCCAATTCACGACATTTTTCGACAATAGTCCGGGGGTTTTTATTGACAATATATTCCGAGGGTAGAATAGGCAACTCTTCCTGCGTCGTGAGTCAGCAGCACGCTCCTCTCGTACACGCCGCCGTGGCGGCGTGCGAAGTGACCTTCGTCCTCTCCCGAACTACGAGTATGATAAGGGCGCGAGCAAGAGAGACCACACTCCGTGGAGGCGGAGCTTCGTGGAGACGATGACCATTAGAGCGCACCCAGCGCGAGTCTGTTGCTCCATCTCGCAACTAATAACAAAAACACGATAAGGTTTCAGAGCTCTGAGGACTGCATATCAGTTTATGGTGTGTGTAAATGGCTTGCCGATAGCATGCCAGAGAGAGTACGCTCTGTGGCGTAATAGTCAGCGCCGAGCGCTGACAATTGAGAGGTTGATGGGTTAATTCCGCGCGACGGATGCTTGCCTTGCGAGTTTTTGTTTTTCCTTTGAATTCTCTTAGTATATATTTCTCAACCACACTTCCGTGACCGACGTACGTCAGCAGAGCCGTGGTTGACCCCAACGTAAAATACTCTCTAGTTTAAAAAAACGAGCCTTTAAATTGACACTTTTTTTGGTAAATTGACCAGAAACTTACACAATCAGGTCCAGCAGCCTCGCGCGACGCGTCGTTTTTTCTAAATGTTTCGTGAACAGTCTAAAAAAATTTAGGTTCTGGGGGTTTCACGTGCTAAAAAGCCATGATCCAATTATTAGGTACGTCGCAGTGGCGAGCTTGGGTAAATACTGCGCATCATTAAAAA